AAAAGGAAAGCTGAGGACAGGAATAGACCAATTCTGCTGCCTGCGGAGAATAAAGTCCAGACATGGTGGTTGCGGCAAAAGAGTTTTTCCGCGAGAACGGCCGGGTTCGAACCGGCGACCTTCCGCTTCGGAGGCGGATACGCTAAACCGCTGCGCCACGCTCCCGATGGAAATCCTTTCTCATTTTTGCCTGATGGACGATGTAACTTTGTTTTTAGAGGTCCACCTGCGCTAACTATTATTCACTTCGCATACCCTTCCCAGCGTCATTGAGTTGCTACGCCAACGGCCGTCCTGCCCTCTGGTCTTCCGGCGCCTTGACTGGTGTCAAGACCGGCGTTTAGGCTTCCGTTAGTCCATGTGCTAATCCCAAAGATTTACGCGCACCGCCTCGGGTGATTTCCGGCTGTTTCCTTCTCGCACCGCCGTCCTGCTCGAGTTCCTCAAATGTCTTCTCTAACATTTGTATTCAATGGAAGCCTGTACGTCACCACGGCCAGTGTTAAGCGAGGAATGTCGCTGCGAAAGCTGCTGTATGGCGGATGTATTGCTGCTCATTCACCCACCTGACAAGGAAACAAGACCGGTGGTCGGCCCTAACATGTCGCCAGCTTTCACGTTTATTTTGATAGGCGAAACGGACGCTTCTACCGCGTCCTTTAGCTTCGATGACCTGTGATTGATGGGCCCGAACGCGCTGCTCTGATTTGCTCCACCCGCGCCTTAGCACAGCTTACCAGCCGACGCCACTGCAGCGCACGCAGAAGACGCGTCGCGCCCACACCAAACAACCTCGCGTCGGCATCATGTCCAACATGTCACTCCCGCACCTCGTTGTCTTCACGGCCGACGAGGAGAACGACCGTGATGACGAGGAGGACTACAAGCCGTCCTCGGCATCCAATTACTCGAACGGCGGGGTTGACGCCGGGATGAACATGAACGCGGACGAGCCGGACGAGGAGGAGCTGTACCAGCGCGCGGCGCTGAGGGTCGCGAGGAGGGAGAGGGAGAAGGAGAGGGACCGGGGGAAGCCGTCGAGGTCGCTCGTGAGCAAGATCCCGCCGAGGACGTTTGCGGTGCACTTGCTGACGGAGCCGGACGACGTGCTGTCGCTCCTGGTGACGGTGACGCCCGCGATGCTGGTGATTGAACACGAGGGTTAGTGTTTAAACGCGTCGAGGGGATCTGCGACTAACTAGCCACTAAAGGCGGAGACGATGACGCGAGAGAGATCGTGAAGGAAGTGCTGCGGAGAATTCGGAACGGCGGCGCGACGAGTGGCAAGCGGACGTTCATCATCTTGTGGTCCCTCCGAGCCGTCAAGGATGCCCGCGAACGGAGTTATTGGACAAGGTACACACCTCTTACTCTCGCCAATTTATATTTATGTCCATACAGCAAGGGGGTCAACATGGTGACCGACTCGATCCCCTCCATCACCCAAGTTCTCTCCATGATCCAGCTCCACTTCTCCCCCTTCACCCACCTTCTCGCCGGCATCCCCCCACAGACGGCCAACCCGAACCAGCCTGCCGCGTCACAGCTCCACCCGTGCCCATTCTGTGGCATCCCGCTGACGATCTCACATCTCGTCGCGCACGTGCCGCTGTTCCACATCCAGGAGCCCCATGGCGCAGTGTGTACCGTATGCAGAGAGAATGTCGCCAGCTTGCCCGCGCATATGAAGGAACACCAGGCACAGCTAGCGGAGATGCAACAGCTAGGGAACTTGGGCGGTGGTGGCACGGGAGGGACGAGGTCCCGTGCCGCGGGCGGTACGGACGACAGAGCCGATCCCTTCCCCGTACGCGAAGGGCGGAGGGCATCACCTGGCGGCGGAGACGGTGGCGCCGCGCCACCACAATCCATGGCGCTGACGATGTCGAACGCTACGAGGAAGAAGCCAAGGCAGCCGGTGTTTGCGCTAGTGGTAGTCCGGCGCGCTTCTGACGGAAAATTCTTGATGGTGGACGAGGTCGCGGCACAGGGATGGTGGTTGCCCGGCGGCGGCGTCGAGGTCGGAGAGGACCTTGTGAAGGCCGCGGAGAGGGAGACATGGGAGGAGGCTGGAGTGAGGGTGACGGTCAAGGGCGTGCTGAGGATGGAGTACACGCCAAGCTCGCATGGGTTCAGGATGAGGGTTATCTTCTACGGCGAGGTGGGTCTATGCGCTCCGTTCACCGCGTTGCATTGTTTAACGAAACGCGTTGATAGCCCCGGGATCCAATCCACCAAACGCCGAAAACAATCCCGGACTCCTCCTCCGCCGGGGCGTGCTGGGTGAACCTCGACCAGCTTGGCGAGCACATTCAGCTCCGCGGCCGCGAGCCCCTGCTATGGTTCCCGTATGTGGCCAAGGGAGGAGCAATATGGCCCCTGTCGATCGTGGCAAAGGAGAAGGACGAGGTATTTTTTGTGCAGGACCCGTTCCCGAAGGAGGTCATCATGGCGAGCGGGCGGGACAAGATGGGCGGCGGGGACTACATAGATAGGAGGAGAGAGTCGAGCTTTCCGGAGCTGCCCGAATTTTGAGAGTTGAAGTTGGCGTAATATTCTTCGCAATGCGCTACGGCGGATGGAGGTCGGTGGAGGTGGCAGCAGATGTGGTGACTTTGTCAATGGAGAGTAACTTTCGGACACGAAGCATGGAGACTACACGTTCTGTTTGGTATTATTTTGCCGCAGTTAGTTTGTATGTAAGGAGTTTGCGTGACTCGCGTTCTCCAGATATCCCTCATCTATTTAAATGATTCCCAATGGTCGTTTAATGAGTTTATGTGACTTCTTATTATGGAATAAAGTATAACCTTTTCAAACAAAGGACGAAAAAAATCTAACAGAACGTGAGATGAGTAAGGTGAAATGGTGCGGTGGACGTAACGTTATCATCTACAGACATCAGCTGACGAGATCGCGAGCTGAAGAACTAAATGTTACGGGATATACATATTGCGGTTAAGGAGGAATCCTGTCCATCCCCTGTAAGCTGAGGGGAACAGAAGAGAGGTATATAATATCCTTCCGGGGGTTGTCCTCCGTAAAGATCACCCTAAAAGTCTTTGAACTTCTCCCTATAAGGATCCGGTCCGGGTACTCCGTAGGGCTAGAAACGCTGTGTGTTAGCGCCGATGAAACCAAAACAAGGAGGAAGTCAAATGCTCATACACGTACCTCATAATCCTCCGGGTAAGAGTCAAAGTTACTCGTATCCCCGTCCCCTCTCACGGGCGGCAAATACGGCGCGGGTATCTGACACGCGTCTAGCTTTGCCCAATCCAGCCCAGCAAACCACTTGTGCTTTTTTATGTCCCCAACGCCACCCTTGAGGTTCCCGTACCGCTTACTGAGGTCCGTGGTCAGGAGGTGCTTCACAAGGTCCTTGGCGAAAGGGTCAAAGTGAGAGGGGAATTTGGGCTTGCAGGCAAGGATCTTCTCGTAGAGCTTGAAGTGGTCCTCGTCGTAAAAGGGAGGGTGACCGGCGAGCATCTGCGGTAACGAGTGTTACGACCGTGTGTGCGAACGGGCGAGCGTAACAATTACCTCGTAAATTAGAATTCCGAGCGCCCACCAATCTACCGCCTTCCCGTAGCCTTTGGATTGAATAATTTCCGGTGCGAGGTAGTCGGGTGTACCGCAGAGAGTCCATGTCACGTCTGGGACAACCTTCGCAAATCCGAAGTCGGTAATTTTGATGTTACCCTGCGCGTCGATAAGCAAGTTCTACGACGTATAATCAGCACAGGTCCATGAAGGCAATTAGGTCACCTCCGGCTTAAGATCTCTATAAATCATATCGCTACTGTGAAGATTCTCGAACGCACTGACGACCTGCGAGGCGTAGAATCGCGCTACGTGATTTGGGAATCGCTGGAAACACCAAATAAGCTCTTTAATTTCTCGCCAAGCAGTCCACCACAGCCGACTTACCCCACACCTCCGCAAATATGAGAACAGCTCCCCGCCCTGCACATACTCCAGCACGAAATATACATTCGACGTGTCCTGGAACGTGCCCAGCATGCTAACGAGGAACGGGTGCTTAAGCCTCTCTAAGATGTTCTTCTCGTTGACCGTGTGCTCGACCTGCTTCATCCTCACGATCTCGGCCTTCCTAAGTACCTTCATCGCGTAGAACCTGTTGGTAGACTTCAGCCGCACGAGGTGTACGCGACCGAACGAGCCCGTCCCCAGTGTCCGGTCGATGTGGAAGTCCGGCAGGCCGAATTTTACGGCCGGGGTTGCCAAGGGGGTTGCGGAGGGCGGGGGATGGGAAGAGGTGG